ACTATGCCCCATCTCAACCAAGCTTTACAATCATCATTGGTGAGTAAAGTATTAAATAGTTTGTTTAAAATTATTTAGAACTTATACTGTATATATATATATATAATGTCTTTTGTCTGGTGAAAAAATTTTCCCTGGAACCTAACCCCTCCATTTACATTAATTCTTTTTGGGAAATTGGATTCGCTTAACATCATTTTGCTTAAAGTAGCATTTTTCAGGAACATAACTACAACATTAAGTGAGGAGTTACTGTATATAGTGTACTTGGGCTCTCAAAGCCTTTGACAAGGTCCCGCATGAAAGGCTCTTGAGCAAAGTAGGCAGTCACTGAATAAGAGGAAAGGTTCTCCTATGGATCAATAATTGGTTAAAAGATAGGGAAGCAAAGGGTAGGAATAAACAGGAATGAAAAATCAGTTTTCACAATGGAGAGAGGTAAATAGCAGTGTCCCCAAGAATCTGTACTGGGACCAGTGTTGTTCAACATATTCATAAATGATCTGGAAAAGGGAGTAAACAGTGAGGTGGCAAAGTTTCCAGACAATACTCAAGATTGCAGTCTGCTTTGGACCTAGCTAAGAGTTACAAAGGGATCTCACAAAACTGGGTGACAGGGCAACAAAATGACAGATTAATTTCAGTGTTGATAAATGCAATATAATGCACATAGGAAAACATAATCCCAACTATACATACAAAATAATGGGGTCAAAATCAGCTGTTACCACTCAAGAAAGATCTTGGAGTCATCATGGATAGTTCTCTGAAAACATCTGCTCAATGTGCAGCAACAGTGAAAAAAGCTAACAAACTGTTAGGAACCATTAGGAAACAGATAGTTAATAAATCAGAAAATATCATAATGCCACTAAATAAATCCATGGTATGCCCACACCTTGAATACTCCTTGTAGTTCTGGTCACCCCATCTCAAAAAAAGATATATTGGAGTTGGAAAAAGGAAAGAGAAGGGTAACAAAAATGATTAGGGATATGGAACCGCTTCCATAGAAGGAGAGATTAGAAGACTGGCACTGATCAGTTTAGAAAAAAGATGACTAACAGGGGATATGATAGAAGTGTATAAAATCATGACTGGTATGGAGAAAGCGAATAAGGAAATGTTATTTAGCCCTTCACAAAACAGAAGAACCAGTGGTCACCCTATGAAATTAATAGGCAGCACGTTTAAAACAAGCATAAGGAAATACTTGTTCACACAACACACAATTAACCCCGTGGAACTCGTTGCCAGAGGATGTTGTGAAGACCAAAAGCATAATTGGGTTAAAAAAATAATTAGGTAAATTCATGGAAGATACGATAGCTATTAGCCAAGATGGTCAGGGATGCAACCCCATGCTCTGGATGTGCCTAATCCTTTCACTGCTAGAAGCTGGGATTGGGTGATGAGGGGGGTTGATCACTCGTTAAAGTGCCCTGTTCTGTTCACTCCCTCTGGAGCATATGGCATCAGTCACTGATGGAAGACAGGATACTGGGCTAGATGGACCATTGGTATGACCCAGCATTGCCAATTTTATGTTTTCTTATGTTCAGGCATAGGACCAGCCAGGGAATCTTGTAGTGAGGTGCTGCAGGAGCCCAGTTCTGCAGTCCTGAAATCATTGGGAGTTTTACTTGTATAAGAACTCTGGTACTGAGCCTTAGAGGAGCTGCACAATCCAGCAGTATAAGTGATGCACGCAATGACGGACAAGATTCTAAAATGTAGCTACAGTAGATCCAGTGTAAAGTTGTAAAGAACACTTTAGCACTGAGCATATTTCTACCTTACAGAAATTTCCATTTGATATTTACTGGCTATATGAAATAACAGTCAATTACAGCCTCTGAAGAGTACAAGCTGTCTTCTAATTATGAAACTATGGGCCATTTTGTACATAAGGCTGTGATCAGCATGGTCTGAAAAAAGGAGGCTTTAGATATCATTTTGAACTATTTAGTTACTGAAATGGAATTTTCAGAGCCTGCCAAAATGAATCCGATTCAGTCTGATGCAACAGGTGTTGGAATTCCAGCAGCTGCCTGCAACCCACATCTGGTAACAGTTAGGAGTTTAAAGGAAGTTCTGTAAGAACTGCTTATATATAAACACTATTTATTGGTCAAATCCATGGGCCATATTCAGTCACCACTTGCACTTCACATAGCTCAGATTTTTTATATAGTTTTTAAAAATGGAATTCTGCTCCTCATGAAATTTCAGGAATCACAGGCACTGTTTGATAGCGTGTGTGATTGGTGTGATAGGGTGTGTGTCATGGAAGGAATGTAGTTTATTGCACAAGGTGCAGATACATTTAAGTTGGTTCAGAAGAGATCTAAATTACATGGTGACCGTATACATCCTCTCATATCCACTTATCACGCCACAAGAGAAAAAACAATTCTATTCCCATGGCTCTTACCACCTATAAAGACACCATAGCAATAGTATTTGATTATCAGGTAATGATTGGCCAAACAATAACAGTTATCACTAAACACTCTAAATATGGGATTCCTGGGCACTGGTATTCTGGGCTCCTCCTCCCGCCTGGCATTCTTACTCACTTAAATGGGACTACTTACTCATCAGAGTAAAGATTGGAGGATCAGGCCCTTAACAATTATGCTCTTGTTTGTGCTGGGCCTTAATGCCCTGTCTCCTGTTCATTTGTGCACCACTCTAACCTGCTAGGGTGCTTTTGTCTCAAAAGCTTCAAGTCTCAAAAGTCCCAGCTCCATAGCCAAGTTGTAGTGTGAACCTGAATGGGAAGTGGTGGGCACTGGCTGGTAAAACCCACATCTTATTCTGATTGCTTGGAAAGGGTCATAGCCATTGATCTGTGTAGTTACTGTAGTTGATAAAATTCAACTGAAATCACACTGAGTTTGGTATCTGATAGGCTTTAATAGAGGACACGTCTTCTGCCCTTGCAGGAAGATTGACTCAGTGATCTGCTGGGGATTTCATTTCTTCAACTACTCTGATCAGCACAGAAGGGCACAGACATTTCCAGTGACTTCGGAGTTGTTTTTATTTTAAACAGGGACAATATGCAAAAGGAAGATGGGGTTTCTTCCAGTTTGGGAAATGACAAGAATTGCCCACAGGCTGTTAGCGTTTGGGTCAGGCTTTGGTTTGTGGTCTATCGTGTATCAGAGTGATCAGGCTTTTCTTACTCTGCCATCCGCACTTATAATTGTGGTATCTAAGAGCCACAGAAAGAGACAGCTGCATTTCATGCAGTCGAAGCTATAGAGGCTGGAAATCTGTTATATTGAGGAGCTACATCAAGACATACCACCTTCCACTAGCAAGAGGTATAGCAGGAATAAAGCTGTGCTCTGCTTGTTCTATCCATACAAAAATTCTTAAAAGGCAAACAGCAGCATTTGTGCTGCAGGTGACAAAACCTCAACCCTCTATATTATTCCTTTTGCAGAAACTCTCTCAAGTAAAAAAAACCAACCCTGAATGAACAGCGGCACCCAACGCCAAACAGGCCTCCACATGTAGGCCCACCTACATAGTTTCTCAGACTTTCATCTCCACAACCCTATTCCTTTTATGTTTTGCCTTAACTATTCCCACTAAAATCCTATCAGGACAGCATGGGAGTGGCTGTGAATTTTGTCTAAAATATCGTCAATAATTCTTACATAACCAGATCCCTCCCTATGTATTATGGAGAGGCAGTTGCAACTAGCTTTCATTATAAAGCCCTACTTTAGCCACTCCCTGCAACTTTGGCTTAGAAAATGGGTTTATTTGGTACATTGACAGACTTACTCCAAAGACAGACAATAATTCCTGCAAAGTATGAAAACATTCATCAGACTGTTTTGGAGTTATAGGTAACTATACAGTTACCCTGATTTGAAATGTTGACTCATCTACCATTTGTCTCCTCTAGCTCAAAAATGGCTTTTTGGCATCCCTTCAAACATTCCAAGCATAGCCTCTATTTGAAGATAATAGGTTATAGTTAAACAAAGCCATAAATGACTTCTGCTGTGGATAAATAGGGGCCCAATCCTGCTTTCATTAGATTTCAAAGGGTTTTTTTTGCCATTGATTTTGCCAAGATCTTAATTTACACATGCACATCCTGAATAAACCAATGGAATGGAGATCTTAATTTCAGTCATTTCACACTATCATTTCTCAGTTAACTTTTAAAAGTATCACATCTGTGGCAAAAAAATGCACTAAGTTGACCGATTTAACCAATATTTTTGTTTTCTCCTCTGTGTTATGGGAAGGAGGCTGTATTTTGAGGTTAAATTGCTACATTACCCCTCTGTGTATATCTGATGCACAAATAGGTAACTGCAGAACAAGCAACGGCAGGCTGGCTCTGCCATATTCATGGAAACATTTCTCACACCGCTAGTAAAAAACACCCTTTTTTTTAGAAAAATCAAACTGCAATGTCAGTTCCGTTGTAAGGAGCAGTAAAAACAAGAGTGATCCTGCCTCTTAGGAACACAAGCAACTCTGGAACAAAATGACAAGGAAAGGATAATTACAGAGCATATTCAAAATAAGAATGTTATCTGAGTGGCACTTAATAAAAAGATAATAATATCAAGAACATTATTATACAATGCTGATGAACGTATGCCTATTAATCATCCCCAGAACATGACAGTCTGATCTTTCTATAGTGTAAAATTATATTTTTAAGGCTCATATACTTTGAAATATTAATGACAAATTATTTGTGGGAAAGGATGCTGATTTAAAACAGGTATTAGTACACAGTATAGCTTAATCAGAGATCTAAATGGTGGTCTTGTTTTGCAGTTTAGTGCACTTGTTTAATTACAAGTTATTTTTCAGTTTTCTGCTATTTAATTATGAGCTATAACTTACTATGGGGGGTTGTATTATATACATGACATATGTTCTCTTAACTATTAGCATTTGTATTAATGAGCAATAAAACACAATCGCATACTTTCAAAATTCAAAGATATTTTGCTTTGTTTGGGATGATCCAATCCATTTTTATTGCCACTGAAAAACAAAAGTCTAAATGCAAATACCCAAAGAACAATGCAACTGTATTCTATATAGCATCTTTTACATAAACCATAGTAGAGGGCTCTTTACCAGACAAAAGGTATAAGATCCAGTTGCTGGAAGCTGAAGTTAGATAATTTCAAACTACAAGTAATGCACTTAAGAAATACAACAGCGAGTAATTAATCATTGGAAGAACTTATATATGTATGTGGTGAAATCACCACACTTGAACTCTTTAAACCAGTGCTCATGTCTTTCTAAGAGATCTGCCCTAGTTCTCAGAGAAATTACGGGCTATAGGTTCTGTGATCTCTGTTACGGAGGAGGTCAAAGTAGATGATTGTAATGGTCCCTTCTGGCCTTAACCTATGAAGAAACTCCAGTTCTAAAGTAGCTTTAAAAAGTTACACATTGCCACATTAAATAAGAGAAAAACAGAAATGGGAGGGAGAAATGAAGTGATTTATGGAATGAAGAAAAAGACATTTTCAGCTGGGATTTGAAAGTGGAGAATCAATGTAAGAGATGGCAAGATCTTGAGAAAAGGTGGTACTCCCATCAGCAGGGGCAGCTCCAGGCACCAGCGCAGCAAGTGCGTGCCTGGGGCGGCAAGTCGTGGGGGGCATTACTCTCTTGCTGATTAAGAGATGCACTCAGGTTCACACCTAAGCAAGTTTTAGCCAGAAGTCCCCCTACTTGCTCCAAGCAAACCAGTTTTCTCCTCTCCCAAGCCTCCATGCTTACACTCCTGCCTTTCAGAAGATGCCAGAAAGAAACCATCAAATTGACAGAGAGACTGGGATGTACAATTTTATGTTCCAAGCGCTGGGTCTTATTGTGCCTTTCAGCATGTGAAATCTGAATTGGCAGGAATTGTCCTTTTGGGTCCCTGGATGCCACCTGAAAGGGAGCAAGAGAGTTAGAACTTTAAGATCGCATATGTCAGCCTTTTTGCTGAGCCTTCCTATGTAGGTTTTGTTGAGTTAATGTTGCTGTTGAATTTTTATTCCCTGGAGCATTTTTGCAGCTGTTGGATATGTGGAAGTTACAAAACTTACAAATTCTGTGTGATGAGCCAAGCTTTACCCCCACTCCCTTTTAGGTCTTAGGTCACCCTTCCACGAATCCCTGACTTAAACACCTTCTCCAGCTGCATTTACTACCTGCTAATTAAGTGTTTCCATTCCTTTGTAGCCTAACTGTGAGTTAATCAGGTTTAATTAAACTGTCTCTGTATAAGCTTGTTTTCAAGTACTTGAACTGATAGCCAAATTGTTGAGCAAAGCAATTAACTTTTTCTTCACCACCAGCCTTTGATTATTCTTTTTTTTTTTAAGCAGTCATTTGCAGAAATGCTTTCTATATTGTTTCTGAAAATCCTGGGCTCTCTATTGCTGCTTTCCTATAAAAACAACAAGGAGTCTGGTGGCACCTTAAAGACTAACAGATTTATTTGGGCATAAACTTTTGTGGGTAAAAACCTCACTTCTTCAGATGCAACTGAAGTGAGGTTTTTACCCACAAAAGCTTATGCCCAAATAAATCTGTTAGTCTTTAAGGTGCCACCAGACTCCTTGTTGTTTTTGTAGATACAGACTAATACGGCTACCCCCTGATGCTTTCTTATAGGTTTCCCCAAGCTGCAGATGAACCATCCAAAAGTAATGGTCTCAAGTTGCAGTTGGGGAGGTTTAGGTTGGATATTAGGAAACACTTTTTCACTAGGAGGGTGGTGAAGCACTGGAATGGGTTACCTAGGGAGGTGGTGGAATATCCTTCCTTGGAGGTTTTTAAAATCAGGCTTGACAAAGCCCTGGCTGGAATGATTTAGTTGGGAATTGGTCCTGCTTTGAGCAGGGGGTTGGACTAGATGACCTCCTGAGGTCCCTTCCAACCCTGATATTCTATGATTCCTTTTTAAAGAAGGGCACTATATTTGCCTTTTTCCAATTGTCTGGGACCTCCCCCGATCGCCACGAGTTTTCAAAGATAACGGCCAATGGCTCTGCAATCACATCAGCCAATTCCCTCCGCACCCTCGGATACTTTAGATCAGGACCCATGGACTTGTGCATGTCCAGCTTTTCTAAATAGGCCTTAACCTGTTCTTTCACCACTGAGGGTTGCTCACCTCCTCCCCATACTGTGTTGCCCAGGACAGCAGTGTGGGAGCTGACCTTGTCTGTGAAGACTGAGTCAAAAAAAGCATTGATTACTTCAGCTTTTCCCACATCATGTCACTATGTTGCCTCCCCCATTCAGTAAGGATCCCACACTTTCCCTGACCTTCTTCTTGTTGCTAACATACCTGTAGAAATCCTTTTTGTTACCCTTCACATCCCTTGCTATCTGCAACTCCAATTCTGCCTTGGCCTTCCTGATTACACCCCTGCATACTCGAGCAATATTTTTATACTCCTCCATAGTCATCTGTCCAAGTTTCCACTTCTTGTAAGCTTCCTTTTTGTGTTTAAGCTCACTGAAGATTTCACTGTTAAGCCAAACTGGTTGTGTGCCATATTTGCTGTTCTTTCTAAACATCGGGATGGTTTGTTCCTGCACCATCAATAAGGCTTCTTTAAAATACAGCCAGCTCTCCAGGACTCCTTCCCCCCTCATATTAGCTTCCCAGGAGATCCTGCCCATCAGTTCCCTAAGGGAGTCAAAGTCTGCTTTTCTTAAGTCCAGGTTCCATATTTTGCTAGTCTCCTTTCTTCCTTTTGTGAGGATCCTAAACTCAACCATCTCATGGTCACTGCTGCCCAGGTTGCCACCCACTTCTACTTCCCCTACCAATTCTTCCCTGTTTGTAAGCAGCAGGCCAAGAGGAGAACCGCCCGTGATTGGTTCCTCCAGTAGCTGCACCAGGAAGTTGTCCCCAACAGTCTCCAAAAACTTCCTGGATTGTCTGTGCACTGCCGTATTGCTCTCCCAGCAGATGCTAATATCTACAGTATCACTTGTTTCATATACTGCCATTCATACAGACACATATGCATTGCAGTTGATGAAATGTGGCCATTCAGCTAGGACTACCAGTGTTAAATCACATGATGTGATAAGTGGTCAGACTAGGGCTAGACAATGGCAGTGGGAAATGGGAAGACTTGGGGAATTGGAGCTTACTCCCCCAGGGAAAAGAAATGATACAAGATTGGATTTGAAGACAGTAAAGGGATTAACCTCCAAACAAGACAAAGGGTGACAGTCATAGGTATGAACAGATTAGCAATGAGCCCCATTGGAAATACTTTGGGCAATGAGGAGAAACTGGCTGTGACTACTACCTATATCATGACATTGTATAAAACTGCAAAAGCATGGGAAAATGTACAGTAAATATTGCCTATTTCCTGAAGAGTATTTTACTTCTTCACACAAATAAACTATGTCAGTGTATTCTTTTCTCTTGTGCAGTTTTATCTGTCACATGCAGTAGATATTAGAAAAAAAGATTCCCATTCTACATGAAAGGACTTTAGAAGTTTCACATTGTCCCAATTCTGAATGTCTGATATATAGACTGAGAATTAATTAAAAAAATAGGGGACCTGTGGCTAGGTACAATGGAATAAAATGGACTATTCCTTCCATTGTCCTTGCTCCGTAAACTGCAGGCTATTCCTTGAATACTCATTTCAATAAAATTTTAAAGACAGAGAGACTGGGTGAATATCATTTACAAAATATTCTGCAAAACAATCCTCCATTTCTGTGTCTGCTTTAAAAACCACACAGCAGAAGAAACAACCTAAAATTATTTCTGTGAATTGAACAGGAATGCTCACATAATCACTGGAAATGCCTTTAATTGGTGTGGCTCAGTGAATCATTTGCTGCTCTGGAACTCCTTTCAGATCCTGGCACTCGTGGTCCAGTCAGCCCTTTGTTTATCATATTCAGTATGAGTTTCCGGATCTCCAACAAAGTGGTATTTACTCCAAGGAGGGGAAAACTACAGCAATCCGATAAATTCCATTAGCCTAACATGCAGAAACATCTGCTGGGCATTGAGCAGCTCACTGACTGTTGATGAGTGAGGATCAGCTCCATTTGCATCCGGCCTGTACAAAGACTGTGGTGGGGGGAAGAAAGAGAGACAGGCAGGCCACAATTCTCTCTGTGGCTGCAGTCCTTTACATTCCCCCAGAGATTCCCTTTATGTCATTCCCACCTCATCACAGAGAGCCCGAGGAGGCAGAGGTGAAGTGTGCTGCACTCCAGCTATACCCAAAAGCCTCCCGGCACCTTTTGACTGTGCCTCATAAGAGAAAGCGAGCTCAGAATCAGGGCCAGAAAGTTGCTATCCACAAGGAAGCAGACAGACATACAAAGGAGGAGACCCTGGTGCAAATGGCTGTTGGAACTGGTTAGCATATGTTTTCCAAAAACAGAACGAAAAGCAACTGTAAGAGGTCTAAAGATAGTTCATCTGGTTAGCGGACTGCTCAAAAACCTATCATGATTGTACCTCTGGCCTGGTAGATGAACACCTAGACATTAGCAATTTAAGATAAACATGAAAAAGAGGACTGTAATAGTTCAGATGGGACAAGCCTGAAGTATTGTGTGAATAAAGATTTAAGAGGAACATTCAAGGGAAAGATGAATTGCATCAATTTTCTAATTCCCTAAATAATAAACTGGAAAAAAACTTTAATGCTACAGCTCTTGAGAATCTGTTCATAATACTAGCCAAGCTCAGAGCATTTGACCTGAGCAGATATTCTTGACAGTTCAAGAAAAGGTAAGAGTCATGAATTATGTCTATTGTTCTCTTTCCTAGTGGAGCTCATCTGCATTATTCATCTAATGGTTGGCAGAAGCCTATTTAGTCACCAGCACCACACTCACTATTGTCTGAGTGCCTGACGTGAGGCTGAGAATGACTAGTAGGCAGTGACTTAATTTGGACATACTGAGCAGACACTCCCACATGTGCTATGTTTTGTACACACCCTTTTGATCATTCTGCTCCAGTAAGCCTCCCACTGTACTCATAGTATAAATGACTGCTGCCTGCAGCACCAGCAAGGAAGTGCTGCCCCAAAAGATTTACAAATCCCTCATATTTAGAGATACTGTACACATTCCGTTAATTTGGATTAGAGAAACAAAGCATTAAGTCCCTATGTATTAATAATCTGATTGCTTCACTGGAGAATTTATCCACAAAAGTTACACCTGCAACCCTATTTATTTTTAAAATATTGCTTCTGGCATCTTGGAACAGACTTATATTTGGTTCATCTAACATTTACTCACATAACAAGATAGAGTATAAAGCTTAAGTGTGGTTCTTTTCCTCCTTTATTAAGATTACATAGTCTGTTGTGTGTAAAATAAATTACACAGGAAATATTGTTCCAAGGAAGCAAATACCTTATCTGGGGTATTAGAGATGACTGGGTAATGAATTATGTGGCTAAACACTTTTTGTGGAGGAAAAAGGATTTACCACTATGAGAACACAGTTCTACTAGGAAGTAGAGCTATTATTTGGTTTCCCCTTTTTGATGATCTCCTAGTTCTAAGATCATTGAAACATCTCCTTCCTAGCCCATCGGTAATTTATTCTCCCTGCTTATAACACTATGCTTCCTATAATCTCAAGTTTCAGACTCTGTTCTAGCTTCATTTTGTGCAACTATTACATACTGTGAATCTCATCTTCAAAATGATACAAGCTCTGCTCAGAATCCTTTCCATTATTTCCATGTTAAGATTGCTCTATTCTTGATAAACTATTGTTTCATGGGTCCAAAGTGGCATCAGGATATTAATATGATTTAGGAAGCAAAACAGAACACCACCACTGCTATCACACTTAATTATGGAACGAATATGAGCAAGTTCACTGAGGCGATGGCATGAAGTGAAGCAAGATCATTTGTTTCCTGGATACTAGACTGGTTCTGCTAGGATGTCAAACAAAATCTGTCCCCAAATTCATGCATTAAATTTTTTAAAGTTATTTTGTGCTCCCCCCTCCACCTTTTTAAACTTGTAGTATGTTTTAGCCTTTCAAAGAAAACAACACCTAAAAGATAAAAGACATTAAAATCTACTGGAACATCCCAAAGCCAGGCCCCAACTCACTTCTTCCACAAGACCCACAATCATCAATATAGCTATCTTTTCTGCACTTAACAATACTAAGGGACAAAAGTAGAATTCCCATCATGGGATTCAAACTACAGTATGGATTTTGAGCAGGTGTGCTTCTGAAATTCTACTCCTCTATATTTGTTCTGTATAGTTGTATTTTAGCTTTCCTCCCAGTTCTGTTTGACCCTGTGCTTGACTTGGAAGGGTTAATGGCACAAGATTCCCAGGACAAACTGTTTCCTTTCTCTCACATGCCAGTTACAAAACTCCTTTTGAAGTACCCCGCTACTTTTAATCTCTCTCACTACTTCTGAGTATCAGGTTTGGACTCAATGTTTTCATGCTGGGAATCAAATCACAGCAAATTAAGTGACCTAGTTTAAATGTAATAGTCTAACTAGATGTATTTATGTGAGAAAGTCATCACATTCTATTCTGTGATGCAATATGGCATATCACATTTATTGGCCTAGACCTAAATAGCTATGCAGAATTAGCTTCCTCAGTCTGTGATTCCGGACAGACAGGTCCTTATCCTCCCTAGACTGATTTCCCCCCCAACATGGCTACCCCTCATTCTTTCTATGAATGCCTGTTGCATTTCCAGTTGATGAAACAAAGTAAAGAGATTTAATTTAGTCTAAACGTGTCTACTGATGGAATTGCGTGTTCTCTTCTCTTGTCGACTGAGCAGAATTTGGATGCTTCAGAAATTAAAAGATTTCTGTGAAGCTTAATTCAATGTCTTAAGATAGGACTCCATTACCTCTTAGCACAGAGATATGCTGGCCATGTCTGGACCATTTCACAGAAAAACAAGAATCAGTTATAGAATGTCAACCTGTGATATCCCATAAGCAACTTTTCATATAAATGATAAGCTTGGGGCTGGAGATGAGTATCACAAAGAAATGGTGCGTTTCTGAGAGGACTAGGCCAAGCACCATCTTACAAGTCCATCAGTGGAAAGAAAGAAGAGCCATATAGGTTTCCTTATTATTTCCACTCTACATTGCCATTTGGAAAAACTATTTTTGGGGGGAATGGGGGGGAAGTGGTAGGGCAACAGCTTACTAACATGTTCTTCTAGTGAACTTTGTTTTACACATACTACAAAAAAATTAGGGTGTGGCTAAAACTGACTGGAGCCAGCTGAAACTCTACCCTTAACTACCTCTCCTAACCCTCGAAAATTGCAAAGAGCAGGAGGCTTTACATAACATGTACTGAAACCACTACAAACATTGGGATGGCTAAGAAGAGTTTCCATCTAACTGGTAAATAGTTTTAGTCATTGAAATCCATTGTGCATGTCTACATTTGTTTAGTTTAAGAAGGGAGTATACAGGAGTTGACGATGCACTGAGATGGACTAGCATGTTAATACATATCTTTCAAAATCCTTTTTCATTTAAAAAATACCTTTGTATCAAGGTTTATTGGATAAATAGTGTTTTGGCACATCCACTACATTGATAAAGATGCAAGATTGTTTTAAACTTGAATACAGCCTATTTCAAACAAAATAGAAAAGACTTTTGACTGGCCAAGTATAAAACTAATACCTTAAACACCTTAAGAGACTCACCAAATAAAGGAATTATGAAGTCTTCATTTCTCCAGGGGTTTCTTACCAAAGCTATTAGATTATAGATGTGTCTTGTATAGGATCACTGCACAAAAGAATTATAAAAGCACCATAAATTGGATTTTTGGTCTTTTTCACAAGAGTTAAAAGAAATACCATTAACTCTCTGAAGAAAAGTTAGTGCTTTAGAGACTCACTTAGGATGAGCAGGAGTTAAAGGCACAGGACTGATGAATGGTGATTACCCTAACCTTGAAAAGCATATTAAACCAACACATGTATTATGTAGGAACTCATCTATTCAGATTTCCACCCATTAAAAAACATAAGCAATTAGCTGATGATCTGACAACTTGTGGCCACACGCTAGACCTAAGTAGTTAGTAAAGTCCTCCATCCAGTGGTCGGTCTCTGTAAGTGCATCTTTCACATTTCTACAGCAGAGACTCAAATAGAGACCCCTCTTTGAGTTGTAGGTATCTGTAGTAAATGATCCAGATTGCTGTCACCCAAGAACAGTGCCAGCTAGAGCAGTGAAAAGCATTGCTCAGGTGAGAACTGCTCAGCGTACATCCTACAGTTTTAGTGGAATAACCGGTACCAAATGAATAGTTTGAAAGAATAACTTACTGGCCCCTCCTAAGTTTTAGTGCAGTGGAAGCCTTTCATAGGATACCAAAATGATGCATAAGAAGAGTCTCAGTGGCTTTTATACATTGACTTCCCATCCAAGGCATTGTTCGAGTTACAATAGATTTATGAAAAGTCATGCCAAAATAAGAAAAATGCATTAAGTCTCCTTCCCAACAACTTGTTAAAAAAAAAAAAAAAAAAGAAAAGAGGCATCTTGTTGGTTATTTAGTCATGACCTACACATTCAGTTTTCCTCACATCCACCCTCTTTACATGTTACTACTCATATGCAGCAATAACCACCACTCTGGACACATCTTGCCAAATCTCAGACAGCAGCTGATAAAGACTTCCTGATTTTTTTTTCCTGAGTGATCAACACATTTCAACCCTAATCTAGAACACCTCAATCCAGTTTTGCATCTAGGGTGACCAGACAGCAAATGTGAAAAATCGGGACGGGGGTAGGGGGTAATAGGAGTCTGTATAAGAAAAAGACCCCAAAATCAGGACTGTCCCTATAAAATCGGGACATCTGGTCACCCTATTTGCATCCCTATGCAGGTATGCCAACATGCGGCAACTGCTGACCTAATGCCACATCCCCCGCCCCACCATCACTTCCAGACCTATCAAGAATGACTTCTGTCCATGGCTGTAATTGCTGTGATATAAGCCCACAGAGTTAAAATTTGAATTTGGTTCTCAAGAGATGAAATGCTCGAGACCTAAAACCCACTGTACTATGAAACTCGTTTAACTATTAGGGGTTAGGATGAGTCCTTAATGAGGGGCAGATTACCCCACTTCTGCCAACTTGCACCTTCCTTTAATGCATTTGGTGTTGTCCACGGTTGGAGACAGGATATTTGACTGAACAGACCATGGCATGATCCACAATGGCAATTCCTGTACATTTAATTTTTGCATCTATTTAATTAAAAACAGAGGAAGATGACAATTGATAATTTAGAAATCCAGATTCAGAAATAGGATATTCTCTCTCCTGCCTTGCTGAACTATCCTTCTTTATGCAGATTAATAGATAAAAATCTTTAGAGCGAACACTGAAGAGCAGGACAGGGTAAAGGTAGGGCACAAGACTACAAATAAAACAAATTTAACATGCCATGGATTATTTTGATCCCTACATGCAACAAATCAATAAGAAATTAAAATGCTCAAGTCTGTTTACAGTATTGAAGACACGATAGCATTCTTGAATTCTAAGAATTCTTTAGAGTTTTGGTGGACCAGAAGAAGCAACACATTAATGTTAAACAAGTAAATTTGTTTTCTTTCAATAAACTAATTTAAAGGCCCATACTAACAGGAAGGAACTAACTACAAGAATCAGAACGGTGTGTGTGTCTGTTCTTTGCAAAACAAAAGAGAATTCAGGATGAAGTTTTATTACCACGAAGGACAAACTTAAAGGGCCTAAGAACAACAACTGTGAGGAAGTGCAGAAACATACCAAGAACGGGGGCGGGGGGGGGGGGGGAAGGAGGAGAGGAGAGGAGAGGAAGATGCTCTTCACCTAGAGAACTCTACTTGTTTTACAGCAGGAAAACAACAAATTGGACACAGCTTAACTACCCAGATGAACAAACCTGCAACAATACAAAGCAAAGCGTGGGACCAATGTTGCAGTGTAACCTCCAGACAGAATTCCAAAGGTGGTGGACAAAGGTCATGAAATAAAGTTGACTACAGATTTCTATTCACAGAAATAGACAAGACTCTAGTATACTGAAAAATTCAAAGTTCTGAAGATATATGTGCTAATTTGTGCTCATACCTGCTTTTACAGAGTAAAATTTTTTGTCTAACCCATTTCACCTATAGCAGGGGTTCTCAAATTGGGGGTCAGGACCCTCAGGGGGTCCCAAGCTGTCAGCCTGCACCCCAAACCCTGCTTTGCATCCAGCATTTATAATGGTGTTAAATATATTAAAAAGTGTTTTTAATTTATAAGGGGGGTTGGACTCGGGGGTTTGCTATGTGAAAGGGGTCACCAGTACAAAAGTTTGAGAACCACTGACCTATAGCATTCTTCTACATGTAACATTTTCATCAACAAGATTTAAGTTGTCACCTTAAAACTACTAGAAAGTCCAGAGTACTAAAATTACTACTGTTTTGCAGTGTTTATATATAAATTGATGTGTCAAAAGCCAATAGATGGACTTAGCTTTAGAGTTTAGAACAGACAGTATTGCACTAATTGGTCATCCGGCATAATGTTGGACAAGAAGCACATAATAAACTCCTCTCTGATTAGTAAATCCTAATCGAGTAGTGTGCTTCCTAGTGACCTGATAACAGATTGGCCCATTGTAGCTGCTGTATGGCGGAGACAGCTGGAGGGCTTGTGTTGACAGCCCTAGATTTAAACCTGAGAACAGGAGAGGAGGGATTTTCAGGAAAGGGGCCCTGCTTGTGGAGCTTGCTCCTTGTCAAGGTACAGTGAACTGCTCATTCAGGGATTTGCAGGCCTTTGTCTTTAGGCTGTACAGGTCCTTGTACCTGCCCCCACTGGAAGGGTTTGGGGTGTTAGTGATGGGGGAATCAAACTGTTACTGGCCTAGGATGATTGGGTGCAAAGTACTTGGAAACAGCCAGTGCTATCTTCTGTCCCTGACATGAGCCACCCAGCACCACAGCTCACACCCCTTAACTGTTTCTGTTTAAGCACGTGAACACATGGAGACCTCAGTCCCTCTGGCAGGAACAAAGCTACTGCCAGTCAGCGGGCACCCCCTACATGACAGACTCTGTTGTAGGGATTTGGGGAGCGCAAGATCGGATACTGACACCAGCTGGTGCCTATACTTCCCTGTTGTATATACACCTCTACCCCGATATAACGCTGTCCTCGGGAGCCAAAAAAATCTTACCAAGTTATATCAAACTAGCTTTGATCCGCCGGAGTGCACAGCCCTGCCCCCCCGAAGCACTGCTTTACCACGTTATATCCGAATTCGCGTTATATCAGGGTAGAGGTGTATTGCCTGAGACAGTAATTAGAAGGTGGACTGCACCCAACCCATGCCAACCTGGGGAAGCTGGTTAGACTGGCCTCGGAATTAGATGTAGTCACAGGCATCAGAGTTTATTTTAGGGGAAATCCAATGGCTTAGTGGCTAGAGCCTTCCTTCCCCTCCTCCCCCACCATGGATCATTCAGACCCTCCTGGCACTAGGCCCGGACAGAAGGCACCCCCATGAAGAGATGGGATCCCAGCCAGGCTGCTCCTGGATGAATTTCAATACCCAGACTGTGCAGTGGAGACACATTTGAGAGATCTAGGGGGAGCACGAGAGACAGTGACACGGAGCAGCTCTGAACGGTGCTATAAAGGAGGACAGACCTTTCTGCAGCAGCTTTTATACATGACTTTCCATACAGGACATGATGCTGTAGCTTGCTCCGTTACAAAAAACTTGTAGAAAGTAAGAATATGGGGAAACAGAACAGACAGTTCAGGAAATAAATTTATTTTACATTTGTGTGTATTTAAAGGGCTCTGGGAAGTTGTACACGACCTTCTCCAAGACCTGGCAAGAGTGAACTGTAAATAAGGCCATTAGTGACAAGAGTACGTTTTAGAAAAATATATTAGATCTCCTTCCAAACAAAACCTAACCTAATACAAAAGAAGTACTAAGATACAGAACAAGAATTTAAGCATGAGGTTTTCAAGCTTTGCCAAACACAATATTACGGAGAAGTCAGTGATCAGTTCACCCCCTTCAACATCATTTGATTTAACTACCACAGAGTGATAGCCATCTCTCTGGACTTTTCCTCTTGCTAAATCACATAGGAAAGGGGTGATCAGACTTCCTGCTACACTTCCTCACTGAATGACCAGTGCACACTGCATTAGCTCAGGCATCCCTCTTGCAGGCTACTGTCAATAATGCACAGTCGCATACACATTTGGTCCTGCATCTACATATTGACACAATGACCTCTGAGCCACATTTCCCTTGGGAAGAGATCTCTTGCCCTGCTGCAGCTGAGATGAGGCACAAGAAAAACAAACAAATTGTTAACCGACAATGAGCTTCCACAAAGGATGTAGGCCTGAAGGTTTGAGTCTAAAACGAGGGACTCATGCCATGTTGGTTCAGTTATAAGAATGCTCCACATTCATGAGACATGATGTATTATAATTATCATAAGTTTAAGTGAGGAAATGTACCAGCCAGATGTCCTTAACTTTATTCTGTTTTTTTGTGCAGCTCCCTGGCCTTGGTTTAGCATCCACAGGTGTTCAAGTCACTAGCTGAGGAACATTTCAAAGCTAATCGAAGTACCAGTGTTTCAGGGTCTCTATTCCATGGGTCTCTTCACAGACTTTTTGGTTATGCAAAGAAACTTCCTTACTGACTTCAAAGGACAGATCCTGTACTTGCTTGAAGCTCCTGCAAACAAGTCAGACAGACTACAATTAGCCACAGTAATTGCTTTAACTTAATTAAATTAGCAGTAAAGTGGTAGAAGATGGGGATTTGCTTACCAATATAGCAAGAACTTGGGGGTGTTGTAGAGGGAGAGGTCCCTGGGTTCAGTCATGAGCAGGCCTGTGAGTTTTTCCATTTCATGTTATTTCTAGGGCTTTCAAGCGATTAAAAAAACTAATCATGCTGCTAATCAATAGAATACCATTTATTTTAAATATTTTTGGATGTTTATTACATTTTCAAATATATTGATTTCAATGACAACACAGAATACAAAATGTACAGTGCTCACTTTATTTTTGATTACAAATATTTGCACTGTAAAAAACAAAATAGTATTTTTCAATTCACCCCATGAGTACTGTAATGCAATCTCTTTACCATTAAAGTTGAACTTACAAAGGTAGAATTATGTAAAAACAACAACAAAAACTCCCGTATTCAACAATAAAACAATGCAAGACTTCAGAACCTACAAGTCCACTCAATCCTACTTCTTGGTCAGCCAATCACTCAGACAAACAAGGCTGGTTACAATTTGCAGGAGATAATGCTGCCTGCTTCTTGTTTACAATGTCACCTGAAAGTGAGAACAGGTGTTCGCATGACACTGTTATAGGTGGCGTTGCAAGATATTTATGTGCCAGATGCGCTAAAGATTCATATGTCCCTTCATGCTTCAACCACCATTCCAGAGAACATGCTTCGATGCTGATGATCGGTTCTGCTTGATAATGATACAAAGCAGTGCGGACTGATGCATGTTCATTTTCATCATCTGAGTCAGATGCCACCAGCAGAAGGTTGATTTTCTTTTTTGGTGGTTTGGGTTCTGTAGTTTCTGCATCAGAGTGTTGCTCTTTTAAGACTTCTAAAAGCATGCTCCACACCTCGTCCCCTCTCAGATTTGGACAGCACTTCAGATTCTTAAACCTTTCTAATTTTAGAAATCTCACATTGGTACCTTCTTTGCATTTTGTCAAATCTGCTGTGAAAGTGTTCTTAAAATGAACATGTGCTGGGTCATCATCCAAGACTGCTATAACATGAAATATATGCAGAATGTGGGTAAAACAGAGCAGGAGACATACAATTCTCCCCCCAAGGAGTACAGTCACAAATTTAATTGACGCATTTTTTTTTAACGAGCAACATCAGCATGTCCTCTGGAATGGTGGCCAAAGCATGAAGGGGCATACGAATGTTTAGCAAATCTGGCATGTAAATACCTTGCAACACCGGCTACAAAAAAGTGCCATGCGAACGCCTGTTCTCACTTTCCGGTGACATGGTAAAATAAGAAGCAGGTAGCAGTATCTCCCATCAATGTAGAAAAACTTGTTTGTCATATCCATTGTCTGAACAAGAAGTAGGACTGAGTGGACTTGTAGGCTCTAAAGTTTTATACTGTTTTGTTTTTGAATGCAGTCCTGTAACAAAAAAAAAATCTGTATTTGTAAGTTACACTTTCACGATAAAGAGATTGCACTTCAGTACTTGTATGAGGTGAATTGAAAAATACCCTTTTGTTCATCATTTTTACAGTGCATATATTTGTGAACAAAAATAATATAAAGTCCGCACTGTACACTTTGTATTTTGTGTTGTAATTGAAATCAATATTGAAAATGTAGAACATCCAAAAATATTTAATAATTTTAAACTGGTATTCTATTGTTATAAGTGTGGTTAATTGCAATTAATTCTTTTAATCGCAATTAATATTTTAGTTAATCGCGTGAGTAAACTACGATTAATTGACAGCCCTAGTTATTTCAACTCTAGTCTGCTTCTTGGGGGAATATTTACCCTACTGCATTACGTCCCTCTCCCACCTCTAGTGGAGGTTCCAGCAGCAAGCCTTTACTGAAGTGGTGACTCATGTGGTATAGCAGGGGAAAGAAATTGGGTCCAGGATCCTCCCAGGGACATACAATGATGCAGAGGGGAGGTATAATCCATTACTTGAGCCTCTTTGCAAAGCCATATGGAAGAACGGGAGAGCAGAGTCTTGGCCTTCTTTGTATTCTTGTTCTTGAAGACAGAGTGCTGCAGCCCACACTGCCGATCCCTGCAACCCACACCCTTGATACCTGCTGTTGTCTTGCCTTTCAGGACTTTAGGACTGCTAGCCTTGGTTGAAATTTGTTTGGAAGAGTCATTATGTGTCACACTAACCACCCCCTTCTGTGATCCTTTCTCAAAGGAAAGATGTTTTCTTCATTGCCTTCTGTGCAGGTAGATCTTTGGGGGTGGGAACGAGGGAGTAAATGGGTGTGTATTTCTTGTTCTGTAGGGGAAGGGGTAAAATCTGGCCATTCGTGGCCAGCTCTAAACAAGGGTACAGGAGCTAGGCTTAGTGGCACTAGCCATTTCATATATAGATTGTCTGAAGAGGTTATAGGACCCACAGATTTTTAAACAGATTTTAAGATCCGTTATAGAACTCTGGAGTCTTCAGCATGATTTTGTAAATACCTTTCAAGTTCTGCATCCATTTTGAGAGCAACTTCCTTAAGTTCTTTCAGTACTGGGAATGCCTTTGAATTTTCTTCCAAGTAGCCAGGCGCAGCTTCCACCAAAAGACTTTGTGTTACAGCTAAATGCTTTTGTAAATCCTCTACGAAAGAGCAAATGTTACAGCTATTATCACTGAATGTACAGTGGCACCTGTTAACAATATACATTTTAAAGATGTCAGCAGCTTGAGTGGTCACCCAAGAGCTTGAAGAACATCTGAGCGTACTGGTGAACACACAGCTTTCAGGAAAAGACAACAGGAGCATATTTCTATGAGAGCAAAATTGTCTTGAATTACATTAGGACTAATCACAGCAGGAGACTAGGTAACTCGCTCAATTCCATTTGGGAGATTAGTAGATTCTACAGAAAGTTGACAAGCCAAGACCATGTATTGCTACAACAAGTGCAAGCTCCATTTATTCAGAATTCCTTGGCTAGTTATATGTTGCTATTGATACATTATCCAAATGTCAAACCTTGCAGATACTTTCAGTAATAATGAACCCTCTTATAAATGCTACACAAATGCTCTTAGTTTAGTGTGCTCTGCTCTTCTTACAGAAAAATAAATTGGATGGATGCAGCTTATTAACTAGAGATGAACAAATATGCAGACAAAGCAAAGCTTGGGACTAACGTTTCAGTGTCCCCTCCATAGAAAATCCAAGAGCAGCGAACAAGAGTCATGCCATGGAATTAACAAGATTATAATTACATTTCAAGTCACGGAATTACAAAAGAGTCCAGTATACTGAAAAAAAAAAAAAAGCAAAATCCTGCTAATTCGGAGTTTTCATACCCAAATATGTGTGTCTATTTCCTTCTATGTGAATGTTCTTCATAGGAAGCTCATGTCTAGTGGTATCCAGGGCAGTCGCAAAGGTTTTATACTCCTCCTTAAACTGTTCACAGACAGTAAGAAGAGGAGCAAGGACTTCAATCTGGAAACAAAAAGGGACACATGATAACCCAGCACCTTAATGCAGAGGAGCCACTCTGAAAGAGCTGTCAGAATGTGTTATCTGGTTTATCTTAAAGAATAAAGTGAGATTTGAGTCTAGTTCAGTATTAAAAAGATCAATATGGTTTAAAGAAATCAACAAATTCTGTGGCTGTATCATCACATACGCCTATTTTTAAAAGTGCTACCCCTCCATGTTTGAGAAGGCCTGCTCCAATATCTGTTTCTTCACTTCCTCTGTTTGGAAGCGCTGCCAAATCAGAAAATAAACTGAAAAAATGAAGATGTTTTGTTCTAACCTGTTGGGGTAGTACTAAAGGGATGCTTAAATCACTATTAGAAAGGCTCTGGGTGTTTGGTTATTATAGTTTTACATGTGTTCCCATTAAGTGATGTTTTAAAAAAGTTCCCTCAGCTACCACTGCCAAGGTGGAGCTGCTGCCACCTATCCCAATGCATCAAAGTCCATTGCAGTTTTCCTTATGCTGATCCCATGCCGCAAAACAGAAAACACACTGCAAGGAGATGCCATTGTGTCACATTCCACAACCCAGGAGGTGATTAGTGCCTCTGCTCTGGCCCCGATAACTGTAGTAGCCCAGGATGTTTGGGGCTAGATGCTGTGCTTCGCAAGAGATGTATCACAGAAGACTAAAGGATGTTAGTGTGGCTTTAAGCCTTACATGCCTCAGATTATGAGCTGCTCTGGTGACTGGGGCACTATCACCTCCCCACAGCTCAGAATATGCTCTTGCTCTGCCTTCAGACCTCCATGTGTTTCCTCCAGTCCATACAGGAGAGGTCACCAAAGCAGGTGCTATAGGTATTCTACCCCCTTTACATTGCCTGAGAAGCATAAAGTGTCACAGCAGGGTTCAAATTTGATGCTTTTTTGTTTGAGGCACAAAATTTACCAAAAGGCCAAAGGTTGCTTGTTCAGAGCACTTGCAAACTGCAGGAGAAACATGAAGTGTGATAAACTAACCTGTTTATCCAGCACTTCTTCAAGTTTCTGCTCTCTCTTCTTGAGCAATAGTTGGCGTTTCAGCTCGTACAGCTTTTTTTGCTGTTTTTCCTTTTCTTCACACAATATTGATAGGTTTCTTTCACCTTTCTCCTCCAGCTGGGCAATATTTTTTTCTATCTATGAAATCCAAGAATGTATTTGGAGCCAATATTAAACCACAGCTAAGTACTTGAAGGGTTAAATTATTTCCAAAATATTTTTAGAGAGAAGAGAAATTCAAACAAGCTTGAATTCAGAAGTTAACTCACTGAATGCGGTGATTTTTCTGTACCTTATATAGTTACTAAAATGCTATTATATTCTGTAAAGGAAGATTCTCCCCTCCATGATCATTTACTACAGCTCCCTGAAGTCAAGATGGCATCTAGTCTATTAAGGGCAAACTTAGGAAGTGTGCAAAGGTAGAGGGGAAAAAAAATTATCTGAGTTTTCAGAGGGAGATGTGTCATATGCCCTACTCATCCCCTCTGACATGACCATCCTTTCTTCAAATGTTTTCACTGACTTCTCCTCATCTTCTGTATCATATTCACCCAGGTCTTCAGAATCCTGTACCAGTCTCAACTCCCCACTTTGTCCACTTCACTCCAGCCAAGTCAAACATTTAACCACTCCCCTATGTCATCAGGTCCCTTATTTCTTCACCTTCCATGCAGCCTCTAAAACCAAATCCCCCACCACACCCCATTTGACTCTACTCTCTCCTCCAAATTCTCCCCCAAACATTCTTCTGCCATTAGGTTTATAAGCTATCATATCATAAGAAACAGCTATGTAAATCTGTATCATTAACCTCAGTGACTACCTAAGCCTATTGCTGAATCACTTGTCCTCCCATCCCTGTATTCCCCTCCCACTATGGTGCTCTCCCTCCTTAAATCATCCTAATTTAGATTGTAATCTCTTGGGAGCAAGGGCTCAATACTTTTATCTATAGTGTATAATGCACACTTATACCACTGCAAAAATAAGAATAGTCATTCAAAGCATGCACTTCGTCTGGAAATTGGAGACTCCTCCCAACTATCTCAGCAGCTCTCTCACTCTGATCATTATTTAATGAAGTGCATGGAATGCTGTATATGAGGAAGTGTCTGAAGTGAATCTCAGTTGCATAACCAAGGATATCTGAAGCACAAATTTAACTTGTGTGGGGGCAGAAAGGTTGTTTCAGTGATATTTAGAAAGTTTTCCAATAGTTATGTTTTTTATAGCTCTACAATACGAAACATTTGACTATTTGTATCTTACCTTCATTGATGCATAGGTTAATAGCAGTGCCTGCGATTCCAACATCCCAATCACATCATCAGGATCAGCAGATTTCTTAAGGAAATCAATTTTTTTTTAAATCAATGGTAGCACACATTTAGAAATTAAATACAAACAAGTATTTCTAAACTAAAGTTTGAGTCTGTGTTCGAAGTGGCATCTCTGATCATTACAGGTATATTTGCAAATAAAGTCTGTCCTGTTATCACCAAGTGTCAACTACATACAGACTATTGTTTTTCTAAAATGGGTGTATTTCTTAATAATGGAACATTTCTCACTTAACAGCATGGAGGCTAGTTATCTTTGTGTTATTGTTCTTTTATCCTGTCACCTTACCTAGTGTATTCTCTGAAGGATTCACAATACCGCTAGAGGATATGAAGTTTCTATGCTGTGTTGGATGAATCGTTGTCAACGTAAAAGGGACCTCATTTTAATTTTCAAGTACTCTACTATACAAGTCATGGGATGCAAGTAGCCTACATGCATATTTGTGAACAGTGGGACATCATTAGAAAGCATGGGTAAGAGCACAGCAAGGTGAAGAACTAACTTGAAGACTAGCCAAAGTAAGAGTAGAGTCTAAGAAGAAATGGAAGCTGGACTCATACAATGGAGTGCTGGTGGTATACACATCAAATCACCACCAGCAGAGACCATGTGAGCCTTTACTAATTGTACTTGGTCACACTTTAGAGGACAGATATGCTTGGTGACACACTAAGCGAGGCCTCCATCCCTGTAGTGACATGAAGAAAGCACCATAGTGGATTATACATTCTCTATTCCTCCATTCAAAATGATATTGGATACTCAAGGTGATACTTCACTATACAACATGGCAACTGTCAGAACAAAGGATATTTTGATGCTTTGATAGAAATGTTAGAATCCTTAGGATAGGGTGCATTTCACCGGCAAAATGCAGATCTTTTTCCTTAAAAAGGAATGTAAAATTTTACATATAGAGCTGAGTTTAGCCCAGTAGGTCCAGATCTAATGAGCTTGACAGCCATGGCTGAATTTGATCGATTACATTTCCTTCTGTGAGCATTTATCAGGCTATTTTTAGCAAAGCTGTTTGTACCCAATGCTTTTAGTTTTATTGGAAGCTTCTTTATTCTAGTCCTTTGGGAACTACTGCATGCTACATTAGCCCACAAGCCCTAAAACAGCTCTTCAGCCCATAGTAGTCCTTTGTGCTTTCAAGATGATGACACTCTCACCACCACAACACACTACAGAAACACTTGTTAACACACGGTTTCTGGGGACAAGTCTTCATTCCTCCCTGGAAGTCTTAACTCTTGCTGCCAAAGTTAATGATGAACCAAAATCCTTATTCAGTACATTCCCAGTCAATACAGCGGGGTCAATTTCCAGCTAATTTAAAGTGTCACTTACTGAATTCTGTTCTTTTTTTCGTGTTCTTGATTCTGCTCTGAAGAGAGACTTTGACCCAGGAATCTTTTTTAAGAGACTTTTGTCTAAACCACAAAAGAAAAAAATATATATATAAAAAATAAAAATCCGTACACACACAGCACTTCTCTGCCAAAATGCTTTGAGTGAGACAATCAGCTTCTTAAAAAAAGACAGTTTTAATCGGATTTTATGCAGGGTGGATAAAAACTGATTTAAAACTTTTAAATCAGATTTTATTTTATTTTATTTAAAGTAAGTTTTTTTTTAAATGACATCTGAATTTAATACAAAATATGTGAAGATCTAAAATTATAATCTCTTAAAACATTTAAATAAAAAAATAATGCCGACTCCGTGAGCCTCTAGCACAAACTGAGTTAAAGGCTATTTTTCCATGTAAAGAAAGAAGCTTCTCTGATTCCAAGGTCAAGCTTTATAAATATGGCACAATGGATCATGTACGATATTAAGGGATCGTTTTGTTTAACAGAAATAAATTTTACATACGGTCTTGTGTGTTTAAATTCCAGTTACCATCCTAATGCAGCTTGACACAAATCATGAGCAAAAAGTTAGTCACCATTTTTTAACATACTAAAAATGTACAATTAATAAGAATCTGAAAATACTCAGCTATGTATTTACTTAAATGAACATATATATAGTTATAGTGTACCTTCCTAGGTAGCAAAAATACATATCAAATCTAGTGTAAAGGCCCTATTTAGTTGTAAATCAACATCTTTTAATGGTTATATCATTGAGAACGTACCTTTCTTTAGAAAATAAAGGAAGTACAAAATGGAAGAGGATTCAAATCCATTATTTAAATCAAGTCTCTTCACTTGGCGATTTAAATTGCCTTGATTTAAATCAATCCACACTGATTTTATCAAGGGAAGAAAGAACACAAGCAGAAACATTCTATTCCTGGCTCTGATACTGACTCGATAAACATGACCACACCAACTTTTCAAAACTGGCTTCTAATTTTAGGTGCCTACCTTCGAATACCTGGGGCATAATTTCCAGAAGCGGTGAGCGCTTACAAAAAATTCAATATGTTACTACTAATCAGAGCGGTGGATGCTCTGAAAATCAAGTCCTAGGAATTTAGAAGTAGGGCACCCCAAAAATTGAGGATTTGAAAATTAGAGGCCACACTTAAAAATTTAGGCCTCACCTCACTATTTCAGTTTCTCCAATTGCAGAATGAGGGTAATAGTTTACCCTCTTTTGTAGTATGCTTGAGAACTTCAGAAAAATGTTAAATACCATTAACATTCCTTTTGACATCATTGTTAAATTTAGAATGTGAGTTAAAGGAGAAAACTTACCATTAATAGCTGAGAGATCCAGGTCAGGTCGAGCAATTTTATGGCCCTCTAATAAAGTGGACTGCAAGTCATCTTTTCCCAAGATAGTACGATTTAGTGTGCTAGGGGCAGTGCCTGTAGAAATATACGTTATTTGAGTGTGGTAGAACATAAGTGAGCAGCCCAGAACACCTAGTTCTGCAAGTTCACAAGTGCTTGCACAATAGCTCTTTTTATTAAAAAAAACAAAAAAAAAACAAAAAAAAACCAAACACACACACCACAGAAAAGTGTCATCTAGATATCGCCACCTTTTTTGTCTTCCAAAAGTCAACTAACATAGCAGGTGTAACTTGCAGCAGAATTCCTTTTAGTTGGGGTTCAACTTGTTCAGAATGCTATCTTAGCCATTTCATAGCTTGCCAACATGAGCAGAACCCAAATGAAGTAAAAGGTAATGTATATGTGATTAAAGCTCTACAGAAGTAACGCTGAATTAAAATAATTTTAAAATATTCCTTTCCCACATTACCAGACTAAACTGGATGATCACCTGGACAAGTGCTCAGACACTGAGAGTCACATACAAGATCATTGTACAAACATGTAGATTTGCAACATTGCTAGTGATTTATATGTTGTGGGGTTTTATTGTTCATTTGTCTAGATCCATACAAAAAATTAGAGAAGTATTTTTGGGTATTAAAATAGCAGCCCAATCCATCTACAGAATGACAGGCTTATTCTAGAGAATTAATATGGTGTTTCATTTCTAGATAGATTAGTTCTACATTCTCTACACATATTACATTAAAATACATTAGTATTAAGTATCAATGACAGGAGTCACAATGCTGCTATATTGTAAGATAAGGGGGAAAAAAGCTTTTGTAGGCCTCTAGACTATCTAGTCTATGATCTTTAGACCAGAGGTCTCCAACCTTTTTACGCCCAAGATCACTTTTTGAATTTAAGGGCAACCCCAGATCTACCCCGCCCCTTCCCTGAGGCTCAGCCCCTTCCCCAAAGCTCCACCCATTCCACACCCCCCCCCGCTCGCTCTCCCCCACCCTCACTCATTTTCAGTGGGCAGGGTAGGGGGGGTGATGCAAGCTCTGGGCTGGGCCCAACAGGTTCGCAGTGTGGGAGGGGGGTCAGGGCTGGGCCTGGGAGAGGGGTGTGGCTCCGGGAGAGGGGTCAGGGCTGGGGCAGGGACTCAGGGTGCAGGAGGCGGCTCCTGCCAGGCAGCAGTTTCCTGCAGTGGTTCCTGCTGTGGCTGCCGCTAAAGCAGGGTCTCTGCCTATCCCGGCCTTATGCCACTCCTGGAATGGGCCAATGTGCCCCCCCGGGAGGGCACACAACTCCGCGCTGCCCCTCTCCGCAAGCACCGCCCCTGCAGCTCCCATTGGCCGGAAACGGGGGGCAGCGGCCAATGGAAGCTGCGGGGGCGGGATTTGCAGGCAGGAGCAGCCACAGAGGGAGACCCTTCCCCCCCCACCTGGGCCATGCTGGCCACTTCCGGGAGCAGTGTGCTGCCGGGGCAGTCAGGGAGCCTGCCTTAGCAGCAGCCCCGCTGCACTGCTGGAGATCGCGATCAACTAGGAGATCCTCTAGGATCGACCAGTTGATCATGATCGACCAGTTGGTGGTCACTACTCCCGCAGTGATACTACAGCAGCACAGGTTGAGATAAGTCCATAAAGAATAGTTTTGCTAAACACACACACACAAAAAACCCCACTTACTTGTGGTGGCTTTGCATTTCTGAAAAAGACTTTTTCTTCCAGTTGGGGTTTCCCCTTTTTCAGATCTTTTTACACCAGACACTACAGAGGAATTTGCTGAGGTACTCTGCCAACCACAAAATAGAAAATATTCCAATTTAATAATGAGTAAGACGTGTAATGTCCTGTCTTGACTCCTACTTCATTACAGAATTTCACTAATAGACAGATAATTTAAACAAACAAACCCAAACCCAAAACACTGCCTTGGGGCATCAAAATGCTTTGCAAAGTCACATAAGAGGCCTGGGCTTGGCTTTAATTCCTTATCCTGATTTTTCTCTCTGGGACTTGGTGAGAGCTCATAAGAATGCAGCAGGGAACTCTCAGTGACTGGGGTTAAAGAAACCCATATTGTTTAACCAATAGTACTAGGCAGAGTGGATGAGCTCTCACAGCGTCAGAGGCTGCCAAACATATTTCTAAACCATAGTCTAGTCTCTTTAAAAATATTTGTTTTTCAGTTGACGCCTGATATATTTCACTTTTTAAAATTGCCTTCTTCAATCAGCTTTCGTTTTATTATGTTAGAGGCCAGCATTTTTTTTTAAAGCAGGTAATTTGAAACCAGACTTAACCTTCTCCACGGGTTTTCTATCATACTGAAGGTAGCGAGCCTTCACAACTCTTCCACCTGAAAAGAAGGGGAAAAAATGAAATCTGAGCAGCAATAAGACTATTTATCACCAGTCTCAGCACCGTGGCGACTAAGCAGTTAGGCCAATGCAAGACATAACGGTATAAATGATAACCGATGACTCTTTTACTAGTGGGATTTCCGGCTCATGGTGATTATTAACCCCTTATTTAGCAGGAGAAGGAGGCAGGGAGGAGCTATACACGCGGGGGGGGGGGAGGGGTGAACTCGGGGGCGGCCCAAGGTCCCTGGTCACAACCCGCAGGACGCGCTGGAGGGGGAGGAGAACGGGCAGCCGCACGGATCCGACACAGGGGTCTCCGGGGAAGCAGAAATCGGCGGATTTTTACCTACGGGCCCACCCGGTCCCCACCACCCTGTCACCCCCGCGACGCCCCGCCCGCAGCGCTGCCCCGCCCCTACCTTTAGGCCTCGCCCCCGCGCTCCCGTCCGGTTCAGCAGCTCCCTCCGCTCCCGGGGGCACCCTACACAAACACGGGCACGCGGTCAGCGCACGCTTCGGCGGGGCGAAGGGCCCGCTCGGGCTCCGCCCAGGGGGAAAGGGGCAATACCGGGGACAGCGCCCCTCACTCACCCCGCCGGGCTTCCCGCCGCCGCCGCCGCCATCCCAGTCAAACTTGCCGCGCAAGCGCCGAGCGAGGGACGCTCTAGCCCCCATCATCGAGTTCATAACGGAGCAGCTAGAACGCCCCCTTCCGAGTCTCGCCCCCTGCCGGCTTGGAGGGGAAAGGGAGGCGCAGCTATTTCCCGCCCCTGCCACCCCACCCCAAATCCTTGCAGGGACCTTGTACCTTCGCCCCTGGGGGACCACGGCCAGTAGCTCGGGGAGCCAAGGTGGGCAGTAAGCGCAGGACAATACATTCACTGGGACCCTTCCGCCAGCCTGCTCATGGCCTCGCTGGGGCACCAGAAACCACTCCCTGCTTATACCCTGCCAGCCAGGGTCGCCCATCTGCAGCAGGCCATGATCCAGTGGTTCCTACCCTAAATGTTAAAAATTATGAGTCAGCACCCCTTCCCCCCCACCAAATCATGAGCTAGACTTAAAAATCGTGAGCTAAAATATTTATTGTTTCTTTCTTTCTTGTTTCTGAGTCTTTGGGAGTAGGGGGTAATATTGTCAAGGTTTAAGTACTAGGGGTTTACCTTTTTTTTTTGAATGAAAGCTCAGATTCTCATATATTATCTTGATTCCAGCATCTGGGACTTTAAGGAAAAAAAACTAATTATCATGAGATTCATGTTAAAATTGTGAGAGTTGACAACACTGCAGATCTTTTAAGGCTCCTGATTTCGGCCACCCTTTCCTGCAACTGGAACCCCTCCCGTGTAACAGAGACGTAAAGGGATGGAAGTGAGGATGAGACACTAGGCACCAACAAACCAAGCACATTTTCAGGGCAGTTGCCTTTTTTTTGTTTTTGCTTTGGCAGTTGTGCTCCTGGCAGTTTTGCTTGGGGTGGCAAAAAAACTAGAGCCGTGGTCCCAATGGGGTGATGCTAGTCTACAGGTGAGATCAGAGTGGCTGGGAATGTGTGTGAGAGAAGGAAAGGTATCTATTCTATCTCCTTTTTCATGCAGCACGGACCTGCTTCTTGGTGCTGAGCTGCCATCTGGCGCACTAAGTGCAGCTGGGCATAGAGCAAACCCAGTGCTTACTTTGTAATGAAAGAGATGTTGGGGCTCAAGGAATTTTTTTACAGTCATAACTGATGCAGCAAGCCTAGAAGTGCTGGGCTATGAACTGCCAAGCCTAGAGGTGCCGGCAGAGCCGGCTCCAGTGTTTTGCCGCCCCAAGCGGCGGGGGGAAAAAAAAAGCCGCGATCAGCGGCACTTCAGTGGCAGCTCTACCGCTGCCGCTTCATTCTTCGGCGGCAATTCAGCAGCAGGTCCTTCCCTCCGAGAGGGACTGAGGGACCCGCCGCCGAATTGCAGCCGGATGTGCCGCCCCTTTCCGTTGGCCGCCCCAAGCACCTGCTTGCTGCGTTGGTGCTTGGAGCCGGCCCTGGGTGCCAGGGGCTCAGCCCTGGCACAAATCAAGCACCAAGGAAACCCAGAACCTGCTGTCCCCCGCCACCCACTACTCCCAGTCCAGTGCCTCTGGCTACCCCAAATATTGCCTTCCAGGAGCTGAACTCTGCTGCCGTCTAGCGGGTGGGTGCGCTGTTTTTCACTGAATGTTAGGGTTTGTAGGAGACTGATGATAACAGTAGGGACCAGAACTTTGCAAGGCAATCACAAGAGTCTAATGGAGTCGGCTGTGCTTTGTAGCTACCCAGTCACATCACAATCTGCTTCCCCTGCCTGTAGAGCCCTGAGGAGGCTGCCTGGCTAAGACGGAATTTTTCTTTGCTGGCTCACATGGCCCATGTACATCCCCGCGATGGAGTCTGGGCTTCCCAGTCACTTGTCTAGTAACCTCTGTTCCCGCCTTGTACCCACCGCTGCTGCAGATGAGCGCAGGAGCGGGGACAGGCACCAAGAACAACCTCCTCCCTGGCAAAGGAGACAGCTCTGCAGCCCAGCGGCTCTCGCGCGTGCGCACTAGCTGCTCGGCGCCTCAGGCTTTGCCCGGCGTTGCCCTGTCGCTTCCCCTCAAACGCGGAAGTGAGCGGGGCCTCGGCAGGGCCTGGAAGGAGGGGCCGCCGCCGGGCTGGGAGTGATCGGCCAACCGAGCCGCCAAAGTAACGCGATGGAGAGCGGGCCTTTGCCCCACTCGTTCCTCTCCCTCGGTGGGTGAGCGGGAAGGGGCTGGTGTGGGGGGATGGGGCGGCTGGGGGAGGGCGTGGGGGGATGGGGAGAACAGGGGAGGGCGCGGGGAGAAGGGGGCTGGGGAGGAACAGGGGGGGATGGGGAGAACAGGGGAGGGCGCGGGGAG